TACATGGCGTGTGGATGTTACATGGCGTGTGGATATAACATGGCATGTGGATGTTACATGGCATGTGGATGTTACATGGCATGTGGATGTTACATGGCGTGTGGATGTTACATGGCATGTGGATGTTACATGGCATGTGGATGTTACATGGCATGTGGATGTTACATGGCATGTGGATGTTACATGGCATGTGGATGTTACATGGCATGTGGATGTTACATGGCATATGGATGTTACATGGCAGTTGGATATAACATGGCATGTGGATGTTACATGGCATGTGGATGTTACATGGCATATGGATGTTACATGGCAGTTGGATATAACATGGCATGTGGATGTTACATGGCAGTTGGATATAACATGGCATGTGGATGTTACATGGCATGTGGATGTTACATGGCATGTGGATGTTACATAGCATGTGGATGTTACATGGCATGTGGATGTTACATGGCATGTGGATGTTACATGGCATGTGGATGTTACATGGCAGTTGGATGTAGCATGGCATGTGGATGTTACATGGCAGTTGGATATAACATGGCATGTGGATGTTACATGGCATGTGGATGTTACATGGCATGTGGATGTTACATGGCATATGGATTTTACATGGCATGTGGATGTTACATGGCATGTGGATGTTACATGGCATGTGGATGTTACATGGCATGTGGATGTTACATGGCAGTTGGATGTTACATGGCATGTGGATGTTACATGGCAGTTGGATATAACATGGCATGTGGATGTTACATGGCATGTGGATGTTACATGGCATATGGATGTTACATGGCAGTTGGATGTAACATGGCATGTGGATGTTACATGGCAGTTGGATATAACATGGCATGTGGATGTTACATGGCATGTGGATGTTACATGGCATATGGATGTTACATGGCAGTTGGATATAACATGGCATGTGGATGTTACATGGCATGTGGATGTTACATGGCATGTGGATGTTACATGGCATATGGATGTTACATGGCAGTTGGATGTAACATGGCATGTGGATGTTACATGGCAGTTGGATATAACATGGCATGTGGATGTTACATGGCATGTGGATGTTACATGGCATATGGATGTTACATGGCAGTTGGATGTTACATGGCATGTGGATGTTACATGGCGTGTGGATGTTACATGGCAGTTGGATGTAACATGGCATGTGGATGTTACATGGCATGTGGATGTTACATGGCATGTGGATGTTACATGGCGTGTGGATGTTACATGGCGTGTGGATGTTACATGGCGTGTGGATGTTACATGGCATGTGGATGTTACATGGCATGTGGATGTTACATGGCATGTGGATGTTACATGGGATGTGGATGTTACATGGCATGTGGATGTTACATGGCATGTGGATGTTACATGGCGTGTGGATGTTACATGGCATGTGGATGTTACATGGCATGTGGATGTTACATGGCATGTGGATGTTACATGGCATGTGGATGTTACATGGCATGTGGATGTTACATGGCATGTGGATGTTACATGGCATGTGGATGTTACATGGCGTGTGGATGTTACATGGCGTGTGGATGTTACATGGCATGTGGATGTTACATGGCATGTGGATGTTACATGGCATGTGGATGTTACATGGCATGTGGATGTTACATGGCATGTGGATGTTACATGGCATGTGGATGTTACATGGGATGTGGATGTTACATGGCATGTGGATGTTACATAGCATGTGGATGTTACATGGCATGTGGATGTTACATGGCATGTGGATGTTACATGGCATGTGGATGTTTTTTAACAAGTGGATCTTAATTGGAACATAGATTTTTCCTGGTCTATATTCTTATGCGAATATTTACTATTCCGTGGATGATACTTGACTCCAGTCCAACATATCTGAAGATGAAGAATTAACGACGTGATGGTCCGTCCTCGACCATTATAAGTTCGTTAAATGGAAAAAGAGAGGAAGAGAAAGTAAGCTTATAAGGTAAGAGAGTGAGATAAGAGGTAAGAGAGTGAGATGAGAGATAAGAGAGTAAGATGAGAGGTAAGAGAGTGAGATAAGAGGTAAGAGAGTGAGATAAGAGGTAAGGGAGTGAGATGAGAGATAAGAGAGTAGGATGAGAGGCAAGAGAGTGAGATAAGAGGCAAGAGAGCGAGATGAGAGGCAAGAGAGTGAGAGGAGTGGCTAGAGAGTGAGATGAGAGGCAAGAGAGTGAGATGAGAGGCGAGAGAGTGAGATGAGAGGCATGAGAGTGAGATGAGAGGCAAGAGAGTGAGATGAGAGGCAAGAGAGTGAGATGTGAGGCAAGAGAGTGAGATGAGAGGCAAGAGAGTGAGATGAGAGCAAGAGAGTGAGATGAGAGGCAAGAGAGTAAGATGAGAGGCAAGAGAGTGAGATGAGAGGCAAGAGAGTAAGATGAGAGCAAGAGAGTGAGATGAGAGGCAAGAGAGTAAGATGAGAGGCAAGAGAGTGAGATGAGAGCAAGAGAGTGAGATGAGAGGGAAGAGAGTAAGATGAGAGGCAAGAGAATTAGCTGTGATGGCAGGGGAAAAGACTGAGATGAGAGACAAGAGAGTGAGATGATTTTAAGAATTAAGAGAATGAGGAAGTGTAAGAAAAGATAGAAGTAAGAGAAAGACAAATGAAGAAGGATGGGGATAAGGTATAAATATAAGGATAAATTAGAAGTATAAGATAAAACGGTAAAATCCCAACTGCACGAGGCCAAACGTCGAAGAGAGGGAGGAGCTAGCAACATGAGAGAAAGAGAGGGAGGAGCTAGCAACATGAGAGAAAGAGAGGGAGGAGCTAGCAACATGAGAGAAAGAGAGGGAGGAGCTAGCAACATGAGAGAAAGAGAGGGAGGAGCTAGCAACATGAGAGAAAGAGAGGGAGGAGCTAGCAACATGAGAGAAAGAGAGGGAGGAGCTAGCAACATGAGAGAAAGAGAGGGAGGAGCTAGCAACATAAGAGAAAGAGAGGGAGGAGCTAGCAACATGAGAGAAAGAGAGGGAGGAGCTAGCAACATAAGAGAAAGAGAGGGAGGAGCTAGCAACATGAGAGAAAGAGAGGGAGGAGCTAGCAACATGAGAGAAAGAGAGGGAGGAGCTAGCAACATAAGAGAAAGAGAGGAAGGAGCTAGCAACATAAGAGAAAGAGAGGGAGGAGCTAGCAACATAAGAGAAAGAGAGGGAGGAGAGACTAGAGGGGATAAAGCTTAGGTAGACGTGAAGACGAGCAGAGTACAGGTGACAACACACACCAACAGTCTTCACGAGTATGGGTGCCACAGTACCTGGTGTGAGAGTCCCATAGCACCTGGAGTATGGGCCACGGTACCTGGTGTATGGGGGCCACGGTATCTGGTGTCTAGATCCCACGGTACCTGGTGTATGGGTTCCATGGCACTTGGTTTATGGGTGCCACGGTACCTGGTTTATGAGTCACACGGTACCTGGTGTATGGGTGCTACGGTACCTGGTGTATGAGTCCCAAGGTACCTGGTGTATGGGTCCCACGGAACCTGGTGTATGGGTCCCACGATACCTGGTTTATGGGTCACACGGTACCTGGTGTATGGGTCCCGCGGTACCTGGTGTATGGTGCCACGGTACCTGGTTTATGGGTCCCAAGGTACCTGATGTATGGGTGCTACGGTACCTGGTGTATGGGTCCCATGGTACCTGGTGTATGGGTCCCAAGATACCTGGTGTGTGGGTGCCAAGGTACCTGGTGTATGGGTCCCAAGGTACCTGGTGTATGGGTCCCAAGGTACCGGGTGTATGGGTCCCAAGGTACCTGGTGTATGGGTCCCACGGTACCTGGTGTATGGGTCCCACGATACCTGGTTTATGGGTCCCACGGTACCTGGTGTATGGGTCCCACGGTACCTGGTGTATGGTGCCACGGTACCTGGTTTATGGGTCCCAAGGTACCTGGTGTATGGGTGTTACGGTACTTGGTGTATGGGTCCCAAGGTACCTGGTGTATGGGTCCCAAGGTACCGGGTGTATGGGTCCCAAGGTACCTGGTGTATGGGTCCCACGGTACCTGGTGTATGGGTCCCAGGTACCTGGTGTATGGGTCCCAAGATACCTGGTGTTTGGGTGCCAAGGTACCTGGTGTATGGGTCCCAAGGTACCTGGTGTATGGGTCCCACGGTACCTGGTGTATGGGTCCCACGGTACCTGGTGTATGGGTCCCACGGTACCTGGTGTATGGGTCACACGGTACCTGGTGTATGGGTCCCACGGTATCTGGTGTATGGTGCCACGGTACCTGGTTTATGGGTCCCAAGGTACCTGATGTATGGGTGCTACGTACCTGGTGTATGGGTCCCATGGTACCTGGTGTATGGGTCCCAAGGTACCTGGTGTTTAGGTGCCAAGGTACCTGGTGTAGGGGTCCCAAGGTACCTGGTGTATGGTTCCCAAGGTACCGGGTGTATGGGTCCCAAGGTACCTGGTGTATGGGTCCCAAGGTACCGGGTGTATGGGTCTCAAGGTACCGGGTGTATGGGTCCCACGATACCGGGTGTATGGGTCCCAAGGTACCTGGTGTATGGGTCCCAAGGTACCTGGTGTATGGGTCCCAAGGTACCTGATGGTACGTACCTGGTGTATGGGTCCATGGTACCTGGTGTATGGGTCCCAAGGTACCTGGTGTTTAGGTGTACCTGGTGTATGGGTCCCAAGGTACCTGGTGTATGGGTTCCAAGGTACCGGGTGTATGGGTCCCAAGGTACCTGGTGTATGGGTCCCAAGGTACCGGGTGTATGGGTCTCAAGGTATGGGTCCCACGATACTGGGTGTATGGGTCCCAAGGTACCTGGTGTATGGGTCCCAAGGTACCTGGTGTATGGGTCCCAAGGTACCTGGTGTATGGGTCCCAAGGTACCTGGTGTATGGGTCCCAAGGTACCTGGTGTTTGGGTCCCAAGGTACCTGGTGTATGGGTCCCACGGTACCTGGTGTGTGGGTCCCAAGGCACGTGGTGCATGTTGGTCAATAGGGATCAATACCACAATATTCAGTCAACTGACAGCAAAATTCTTGTTATTTATTTCTTAATTTGTTGAATTGTATAATGCATTTAGGTGTTTATTATTGTTCTTGTTTCATGCGCTTTTAACGAGTCAGGAGCAATACAAGTTTCCAATAACATACAGAAGTAATAGTTTTCGCGACTCACCTTTGAATCTATACCGACTCCCTCGTCCATGACGGTGAAGACCCGACCTCCAGACTCTCTGGCGATGGGGACGAGGGCATGCGGCGGGGCTGGCAGGCCGGGACGCTCGGCCAGCGGGTACAGCACCAGCAGCAGTCTCAGACCGTACTTCTGCACCAGACTCCGGACCTCGTCTGCTTCGTTCTCCCGGCCGTCGCCTCCGCTCGTCACCAACACGATGTTGGCCGCCTGTAGGCACGCCAGAGAAACACGGCTGCGTAAGTAACATTGTTATTTTTGTGTCGTGTAAGTAAACATGAATAAGATAAAGGATTGAAATAATGATAGAAAAAAAGATGTGTGTATCTCTGGATTAAGTACAATTATTTACCAGCATTGGTATTCTAAGATATTGACAACTTAGCCGTGGACGTAACTGTTGTGCACGTGTCCTTACACCTGATGCCACTAGTTACCTAGCAGTTAGTTACCAAGGAGGTAGGCTGTTGAGGGTCCAATTGTGGTGATGTTCAGGCGTTGTCCTTAACGAGCCTAACATAATTTCTGTCTCGAAAAATGAGAAACTATGTATCAAATGGAACTTAGTTTGATCTTTTCATTTTAAATTATTTGGTAGCAACTCATTTCTCTCGCTTGCTGCATGTGGAATCAAAGTCAATGTAATTGTTTTCTGTCAAGAGGAAAGTCTCTTTCTACATTCTCTCGGCTAATAATTTAAACAAATTAATTATTCAGGTTTGAAATAAAGGAGATCTTGGCTTGATAATAGTTTACAAGTAAAACATATATTTAGAATTTTATTATCTACAGTATCTATGATTTAAATCCCCGGGAAAGGGTAATACCTTACATCAAACCACCATTTGGTGGCCTAAATCGATTAACTAGAGTGAAATTGTCATAGAATACAGTCAAAAACATTTATTAAATATATATTCCTGTTAAGGGAAGGGGTGGGGGGGTTTACCTTGCTGCACCCGGGACCCTTTTCCTTTAACCCATTGCTCCCCACGCCCGTCTCTTATCACTTCTTTCTTATTCTCTCTCTCTTCTCTTTTCCCTGCCTTCCTCCTCTTTTCAACTTTCTCTCCAAGATTCCACTTCTGCCACTCCCGTCTCCTACCCTCTCTCAAAAACGACCCTCCCCCCCTATCCCATCCTCTGCATCTTTCTCCCCCATTTTCCCACGAGATCCCCTCTCTCCCTCCCCCTCTCACACCTAAGATTGGCAGCGTGGGTGGCTGATTGGATAGCAGGGTGGATTGCACTGATAGGGGGCTTTGACCCTGATAGGTATCTCTAGATAAGCTAAGCTCGGTTAGGTTGGCTTAGACATAGAACCCCATGGGTGCCGCCTCCAAACCATCAGACCAATACACGTATGACGAGATTTAACATTCTGACCTCTGAGGCCAATACCCAAGCACCTGCAATTGGCCAGCTGAACCCTGACGACCACAACCATATGCCACCACCACAAAAATATATGATCGAAACAAAGTCATCATTGTAATGAAACAACACAAACGAGAATCTTAAAAACACCTTCAAACTCTCTCATTGTTGAAGGAAACGCTGAAATTGGAGGTTTAAAAATCGAATGAGTAATTTGTGATTTCGATCCAGGTTACTTCTGTGGCATTGAGAAAACCGGCAAACCTGGCTACCACCTTACGCTTATAATATCGCACATCCCCAAGCGAACTTTTAAATTCTCAACGCGACTGGGATCTCCGTACATCGCGTCCACATTCTCCTTTAAATCTAGTGAAGGTACGTTCATAAAACTTGAGAACTCGGCGGGATTTTGGCCACCCTAGTCGTTGAAAGTCCCTTCCCTAATATGCTAGTGAAAAGGACTACTCAATTAATAGTGATCTGTGTGCATCAACAACGGCCTCTCCTGGCATGTATGGTATATCCCGGCATGTATGGTACCTCCTGGCATGTATGGTACCTCCCGGTATGTATGGTACCTCCCGGTATGTATGGTACCTCCTGGTATGTATGGAACCTCCCGGCATGTATGGTACCTCCCGGCATATATGGTACTTCACGGTATGCATGGTACCTCCCGGTATGTATGGTACCTCCTGGTATGTATGGAACCTCCCGGCATGTATGGTACCTCCCGGCATGTATGGTACTTCACGGTATGCATGGTACCTCCCGGTATGTATGGTACCTCCCGGTATGTATGGTACCTTCCGGTATGTATGGAACCTCCTGGCATGTATGGTACCTCCCGGTATGTATGGTATCTCCCGGTATGTATGGTACATCCTGGCATGTATGGAACCTCCTAGCATGTATGGTACCTCCCGGCAAGTACGGTACCTCCCGGCATGTATGGTACCTCCTGGCATGTATGGTACCTCCCGGCATGTATGGTACCTCCCGGCATGTATGGTGCCTCCCGGCATGTATGGTACCTCCCGGCGTGTATGGTACCTTCCGGCGTGTATGGTACCTTCCGGCATGTATGGTACCTCCCGGCATGTATGGTACCTCCCGGCATGTATGGTACCTCCCGGCCTGTATGGTACCTCCCGGCATGTATGGTACCTCCCGACATGTATGGTACCTCCCGGCATGTATGGTACCTCCCGGTATGTATGGTACCTCCTGGCGTGTATGGTACCTCCCGGCATGTATGGTACCTCCCGACATGTATGGTACCTCCCGGCATGTATGGTACCTCTCGGCATGTATGGTACCTCCCGGCATGTATGGAACCTCCCGGCATGTATGGTACCTCCCGGCATGTATGGTACCTCCCGGCATGTATGGTACCTCCCGGCATGTATGGTACCTCCCGGCATGTATGGTACCTCTCGGCATGTATGGTACCTAAAGATATCCTGGCGGGACATGCTCATGGCTCTACTCGACGAAGCGTCTTTGCTAGGCTTCTTTTCACTTTGAAAGGTTGACGGTGTAGCGATGAGGTCCGCATCGAGTGTCTTGTTTGCTTAGGTATTTAACGTGTCATGTTGAGTCTTCCACCCTACAGATAGCTGAGCTGATTTCCAATATATGCTATAGATACGTTGACGACATAATCGTACGAGTTAATGAAGAAAACACATTGGAGAGGCTTCATATAGCACCTGCTTTTCATGGTTGCTCCTTCACAATGAATTCGAGCATGTCCGCCAAAGGAGTGCCACAACTGCACTGAGGATAATCGGCTCTCACAGGAGAATTCACTCACAAGGGAACACATTGTGGAATATCAAACTACCTTCACCCATCAGGTTTACATGTTGTATGCAATGTTGGTATACTGGAGTTATCTGTGCCATGTTCCTGAAGATGTTATTTTGCTGATGATAAGCCGAAGTATACTTAAAACACTATGTGGTTTAGTGTTGTTTTAACCCCTGGATATGTGTGAAGGTATATATGTAGAATGGAAAATATCTATAAGAAAATTAGGAACGGCAATAGAGTGGGAATCCGGCGGTGCCCATATCTATGTCCATTTTCCTCTCCCTATCCCTCTCTCTCTCCCATTCTCCAATTTTTCGTACCTCCCTCTCTGCCATACTCTCTTCTTAACTCCAATTCATTATCCCTCTCTCTCTCTCTCTCTCTCCCAATTTCTCTCTCTCCCTTCTTTCCATTCTCCCTCCCACCTTTTTTCCCATGCTCACTACCATACAGACTACAACTCTCCCACTATCCCGTATTCCATTCTCTCTCTCTCTCTCTCTCTCTCTCTCTCTCTCTCTCTCTCTCTCTCTCTCTCTCTCTCTCTCTCTCTCTCTCTCTCTCTCTCTCTCTCTCTCTCTCTCTCTCTCTCTCTCTCTCTCTCTCTCTCTCTCTCTCTCTCTCCTCTCTCTCTCTCTCTCTCCTCTCTCTCTCTCTCTCTCTCTCTCTCTCTCTCTCCTCTCTCTCTCTCTCTCTCTCTCTCTCTCTCTCTCTCTCTCTGTCTCTCTCTCTCTCTCTCTCTCTCTCTCTCTCTCTCTCTCTCTCTCTCTCTCTCTCTCTCTCTCTCTCTCTCTCTCTCTCTCTCTCTCTCTCTCTCTCTCTCTCTCTCTCTCTCTCCAGCTGTTTCTCCTTTTAACCCCTTTGTCCTCACTCCCCCGGTGGGAATAACATGATCGAGTAATGATGAATCGTCGAGTCATCGTTGTCGACGTTGAGTCAACATTATCGTCAATGAATCTACCTTATCGACATTGAAATATAATTATCGACGTTGATTCAACGTAAATGATATACAAGAAACCAATTGGAATACACTCTATGGAAAATCAGACTCATATTTCAGCCTTCTTAGGACTCGCTGGTTGTTGCCATTAAAGTCAGCCCTGGTTTAAGAGGGGCAGGGGGAAGGGCCAATCTCAACCTCACTATGATATTCGCCTTACAATTATAACTCACTTTTACAAATTTTGGCGAGGCTGCCCCTAAGCGTCTGGCCCCCGACCTCAAGTAAAACAAACAGAAAAACAAATAAAGAAACCGAATATAGTTATAAGACCTAGTGAAGTGTGCGATGTGAATGATTTTTTTTTCGTTCGAAATGTAGGGATTACTTCGAACGTTAAACACTAAGAACCTAATTAATATTTTAGCGTTCAATAGAGTAAGGATTTGTGTTTATTGTGCATTTGGAGTTAAATTTTTTATTGTACTAGCTGTACCCCCGGCCACGCATTGCTGTGACTCAGCAACGCATGTGCGATGCTGAGCCACAGCAATCCTCCTCTGTCCCCTCGTCCTTCCCACCATTCCACACTCCCCCGTCTCCTTGTCCTCCCCACCGTTTCTCACTTCCCTGTCTCCTCGTCCTCCCTTCAATCCTCCCCTCCCCCCGTACCCTCGTCCTCCCCACCATTCCCCCCATCCAATGTCCCCTCGTCCTCCTCACCATCCCCCACTCCCCTGACCCAATGTCCTCCCAACCATTCTCCACTTCTCCATCCCCTCTTCCCTTCCATACCCCCCCTTCCCCCATCCCCTCGTCCTCACCATCTTCCACAACTCCCGTCCCCTCGTCCTCCCCACCATTGCCCACTCCCTCGTCTGATGCGTTCCCAAATGATCTGCTGTTCCCATCACTGTAAAATAAGAACAGTTAAAAAAAACGAAATGAATAACAATGAAAAATAGATAAATAAACTATACTCACGATATGAACGGTATGGTAAACAACACAGCTTAATTCCAATGCAATGTCACACAAAATAATTAAATCAAAATGAAAATCGAAATCTGTG